ATCCAATCATGTGGCAGAGAGTCAAATGCCTTTTTGTAGTCAATCCATGCCACATTCAGGTTGGTCTTCCTTCTCTTGCAGTTTTCCAAGATCATTTTGTCTATTAGGAGTTGATCTTTTGTTCCTCTGCTATTGGGGCGGTTTCCTTTCTGCTCAGGTGGAAAGAGATTGTTTTCAACTAGATGCTGTTGCACTGCATCAGCTACCACACCAGTTAGTAATTTGAAAGTTGTTGGTAAGCAGGTAATTGGCCTGTAGTTACCTGGTGTTGCCCCTTTTGCTGGATTTTTCATTATTAGGTAGGTTTTCCCAGTTGTTAGCCACTTTTCAATTTCTCCTCCTTGTAGTATATTGTTGAACTGCTTGGCAATGAGTGGGTGTATAACAGTTAGATGTTTCAACCAAAACCCATGCAGTTCATCTTCACCTGGTGCTGACCAATTTTTGATTTTCTTTGCTCTTTTTTCTACCATTTTTGTTGTTATTACTAGTTCTTTCATTTCAACTTCTGTTTTATTTGCATCCACCTCTTTTAACCAAACCGCATCCTTGTTGTATTTCTTTGGGTTATCCCATATCTGCTTCCAGAACTGCACTGTTTCTTCTTGTCAGGTACTGACTGATTCCTTGCAGTTTCTCCATTGATGGATTGGTAGAAACGTTTCTGATTGGATTGAAATTGGAGGTTCTGCCTATAGTTTGCAATTCGAGCTTCATATCTACTGATTTTCCTGGCTATAGCTGTTATTTGTTGCTTTATTATTTCCAGTGCTTCCTTGATCTTCCTTGTTTCTAAGTGGTATTTCTTGATTAGGTATTCTTTGGTCTTCTTGTTCTTCAGCTTCTTTTCTTTCATCTGTTCTAGCTTGCTTGCATGTGATCTTAACTTGCTGATCTTATTTTCTAGTCTAACCTTCCATTTTTCTGGTGCACTGTTTGTTTGTTTTTTTTTTGTTGATTTTGCATCCCAGGTATTCTGTTATAACTGCAGCTGTGCTGTACATTAGTTGGTTTGTTTCTTGCAGTGAATTGGTGCTTATACTTGATATTGCAGTATTTGCATCTTTTAATGCTTGTGCTAGCTGTTTCTTTGGAACAAGCTTCAATGCAGGCAGCCTTATTCTGTTGTTTTTGTGCTGTTCTAGATGCTCAGTTATTCTTTGTTTCAATTCTTTTATTTCTTTAGTTAGAGGGTTTTGTTCTTCCTGAGGTAGAGGTGCCTGGTTTCCAAATGAGAACAGTTGTATATCTCTGCTGGATTCCTTCACTGCCAACTCCCCCTGGTTTGCCTCTACATTCTGAATTACTTCTGGTAAGGCTTTGATTTCTTTGCCCTGGGTAAACCTTTGCAGTTCGTCCAATTCTGTTTCTGTAAATACTTTATTTCGTGTTATAAATCGGCGTTGATCTGCTAGTCTCTGTTCTGTTATTTCTGATTCTGGATGTTGTTCTTTCCAGAACTGGTGCATTCGTTTTAGATATCCTCTTCTTGTTGGACTTGATCTGTAGTAACAGATCATTATTTCTTTGTTTTCAATCACTGTGTATCTGCGACGGGTAAACACCTTTTCTTCCAGTAGTTCTGCAGCTGCTGGCCCTGGTTGCTCAGCCAACAGTCCTGAGTCCTGTAACCCATTTTTCACCAGATATCCAGGAACTCCAATATCTAGTGCGGACCTTGTTAACCCGGGCGACGTCCGAGCCGGTATGGCATTCTGCAATTTACGTCTCACCATATTTTTTATGGGAGAGACACTCTTTGTCTGACTCCTCTGATGAGACCTGTCCAGTATGGTTGAACCTCTGGCATAGCTCTCATCTTCCTCAGAGTACACAAGCCCCACAACCACGTCAAGGTAGTGCCTCACTGGGGGTTATTATTATTATTATTATTATTATTATTATTATTATTATTATTATTATTATTATTATTATTATTATTATTATTATTATTATTATTATTATTTAGAAACAATTTCTTTTGTTAGACAACAACAACAACAATAATAATAATAATAATGATGATGATGATGTTGGAAGGGACCTTGAAGGGTCGTCTAGTCTAACCACCTGCTCAAGCAGGAAACCCTATACCAGTAGTGGGATTCAGCTGGTTTGCACCACTTTGGCAGAACCGGTAGCTAATTTTTTGTTGCCCAGGCCCAGAATGGACATCTGGAAGCAGCATCCACATACAGAACCGGTTGTTCACATATTTTAATCCCACTTCTGCCCTATACTATTTCAGACAAATGGTTGTCCAGTCTCTTCTTAAAAACTTCCAGGGTTGGAGCATTCACAGCTTCTGGAGGCAGGTTATTCCACTGATTAAGTGTTCTAACTGTTAGAAAATTTCTTCTTAGTTCTAGGTTGCTTCTCTCTTTGGTTAGTTTCCATCCACTGCTTCCTGTCCTGCCCTCAGGTGCTTTGGAGAATAGCTGGATTCCCTCTTCTATGTGGCAGCCACTGAGATATTGTAATACTGCTATCATGTCACCCCTCATCTTTCTCTTCATTAAACTAAACATACCCAATTCCAGCAACCATTCCTTATATGTTTAGCCTCCAGTCCCCTGATCATGTTTGTTGCTCTTCTCTGTACTCTTTCTAGAATCTCAACATCTTTTTTACATCGTGGTGACCAAAACTGAATGCAGTATTCCAAGTGTGGTCTTACCAAGGCATTGTAAAGTGGTATTAATACTTCACATGATCTTGATTCTATCCCTCTCTTAATGCAGCCTAGCACTGTGTTGGCTTTTGTGGCAGCTGCATCACACTGCTGGCTCATATTTAAGTGATTGTCCACTAGGACTCCAAGATCCCTCTCACAGTTGCTACTATTGAGTAAGGTACCACCTATACTATACCTGTGCATTTGGTTTTTCTTACCTAAATGTAGAACCTTACTTTTTAAATTGAATTTCATTTTGTTAGATAGTGCCCAATTTTCAAGTCTGTCATGATCTTTTTGTATCTTAAGCCTTAAGTGTTGCCTATTCTGGCCAGCTTGATGTCATCTGCAAATCTGATGAATTCTCTATCTATCCCCCCCATCCAAATCATTGATGAAGCTCTTGAAGAGGACTGGGCCCAGAACAGAGCCCTGGGGCACCCCACTACACATTTCCCTCCATGTGGATGCAGTTCCATTGAAGATTACACGCTGAGTACGGCTGATCAGCCAGCTATGAATCCATCTAGTGGTGATGCCGTCTAACCCACATTTTTCTATCTTATCAAGTAGTAGGTTGTGGTCTACTTTATCAAATGCCTTACTGAAGTCCAAGTAAATTATATCCACAGCATTCCTCTGGCCCACTAAGTTTGTCACCTGGTCAAAGAATGCAATAAGATTTGTCTGGCATGATCTGTTTTTGACAAGCCCTTGTTGGCTTTTAGTAATGACTTTGTTTGCCTCTAGCTGTTCGTTGATTCATTGCTTGATTATCTTTTCCAAGATCTTCCCAGGTATTGAGGTCAGGCTGATAGGTCTATAGTTTCCTGGATCCATTTTTCCCCTTTTTTGAAGATGGGAACTACATCAGCTCTTTTCCAGTCCTTTGGTAGTTCCCCAGTGCTCCAAGATCTTTGAAAGATATAATTCAGCAGTTCTGAGATCACATCTGCCAGTTCCTTCAGAAGCTTGGAATGTAGTCCATCTGGTCCTGGTGATTTGATCTCATCTAGGGTGGACAGGTGCTTACTTACCATTTTCTTGCCTTTCTTAACATGTTTTTAATCTGCTTACAACATGGTTTTTGATAGGACTATTTTTTCCTTTGAGTAAATAAGGATGCAAAAAATGAGTTGAGTGGTTCTGCTTTCTCCCTGTTGCTTGTCACCTTCTTGCCATCTTCTCCCACTAATGGATCAATCATTTTTTAAACTTTTTCTTGTTTTTTACATGTTGAAAAAATCTTTTTTGTTGTTGTTGTTATTTTTGACTTTGGTTGCAAGCCTTAGTTCATTTTGAGCCTTAGCTTTCCTCACTTCGTCTTTGCAGGCTCAGGCTATTTGCTGATGTTCTGACTTAATTATGTGCCCCTCTTTCCATTTTTTTATACTTGTCCTTGTTGTCTTTCAATTTATCAGAGAGTTCTTCATGCAGCCATGCTGGCTTCTTTTGAGAGTTCTAATTGTTTTTCTTTGTTGGTATTGTGCTAGACTGGGCTTTTATAATCTCACTTTTGAAAATTTCCCAACCTTCTTGAGTTGTTTTCCCCTTGAGGATTCTTATCCATGGAATCCTTCCCAAGCTTTCTCTAAATTTGTTGAAATTAGCTCTCTCAAAGTCCAAGACTCTAGTTTGACTGTGTTCTATTGCTTATGCTTGCTTAATGTTGAATTCCAATATTGCATGGTCACTCCCCACCAAGGTTCCTGTGGTTTCAACACATTCTATCATTTTATCTCTGTTAGTGAGAATTAAGTCCAATATGGCTGATCCCCTAGTTCCCTTCTCTACTTTTTGGGAGACAAAGTTGTTTGCTTGGTTTGTCAGGAATCTGTTTGATTTTCCACTTGGTAAAGTGTTTGTCTCCCAGTTGATGTCATTACTATTGTATGTGCTTCCTACATATATTAGTTAACTGACTAGCAAAAGGTTCAACTATTATCTCTGTTTGGTTGGGTGGCCTATATTATACACATATGGCAATATCATTCCCCCCCTTTTATATTGACCCAAGGGAATTCAAGACAGTTTTCATCATTGTTGTGCTCTATTTCTGTAGAGATGTAATTATTTCTTATATAGAGAGCAACTCCCGTTCCTCTTTTATTTGGTCTGTTTCTTTTAAATAATTTAAATCCCTCTAGCTGTGTGTTCCATTTGTGGGTTCTTTCAAGATTTGAACAATCCTGTGTGGAAAATGTTTATAAACAGATTTTATCTTTGTCCTTGATGGAATGCTGACTTCTTTCAGCAAACCAAGAGCTCATACAGACATTTCCAGGTGGAACTGGAATTAGAAAGACTCTTAAAGAAATATGGGCTCATTCCTTTTTCTCAGATAAAATAGGAATAATAGGTTCATGAATTAGAAACAAACAAACAAAGAAAGAATCAATCGTAGTTTAAAGTAGAGCAAAACAATCCCTTTAACAGCAAAGTGTAATGTAAACAGGAAATATCCACAGAGAAATCAAGAAAATAAGACAGTAAAATTCAAAAGAGGATTTAAAATGTAAGAGAAAATTTCATATACCTCTAGCTGAAAGCCCCTCACTTTCATCAAGGGATGTTACTGATGTCACGTTGATTAAATGTAGTACCTTTCAAAAGTATGTTTATACCAAGCCCCAAAGTACTTGATGAATCTTCCATATTGCATACACTTGAGGATCATGGCAGATATATCACAAAAATAGTGATATGGCATTTGGTATGCATTATCAATAGCTTGGATAGAATTCATTATTTCTCAAGGACATTTCAGTAAGGTATCATCCTTGATGTAGATCTATCTATCTTCCTTGTCCATGCATTGGACCAGAAAACATGTCTTATCTCTTCCACTTTGTACCAAGATGTAAGATTTCTGAAATTTTTTTTCATCATTATTATTTTGTTCGTTAGAAGCATGTATCATACTAATTTAATTTCTTCCATTTTTTGTTTTACTTGATTATCAAAAGCTTATGTGATACAGTAAAAGCTCACAAATCTTTCTCATCCTGCCAGGTGTCTGGTTTTGCCTAAACATTTTTAAAAGAAACAAATAATAGTCTGAGCTAAAGACTCGAAAATCTGTTTGACAGAGAAGTTAAGGCATTGGGTTAGAAATCAGGAGTTTAGACTTCTATTCCACCTTTGGAATGTAGCCAGCTGGATGACTTTGGGCTACCACCCCACCTCAGCCCTTAAGGAAGCAGTAGCAAACCCCTTCTGAAAAAGATTGCCCAGAAAACTATAGAGAATTGTCTGGGCAGACTGACTGAAAGAGGCAAAATATCAAACTTTAGGAATAAATGATCAATTAAGGAGGGAAATGTTATCAAGGCCCATGTACTTTTGGAAAAGCTGAAACTTTAACTAGTTATATTATCTGCCAGCTTTAGAGGGAATCTATTTTGTATGGGAAAGCAAAGGGGAAAATAGGCTACAGCATTTAAAACTCCTCTGGATTGAAAGTATTTCTCCCATTTACATTATACCCTGATCCTCACTTCATTAAATATAAGGAATTATCAGCATGTGGAATGCCAGAACTGTCAAACAATCCATATTTAGCATCAGTAGAGTGAATTGACAGTAATTTAGGATGCAGGACCTATATTAAGCAAAATCTAGAGTGCTAGGTTTTCCTGGTTTGATATTTCAGATTTGCCTCCATCCCAACTATCCCTTTTTACCTTAATCCTCTATTCATAGAAGTAAAAGAAAAGCCAGAAAAAATGCAAAACTGTGGTGAACAGACTATAAATAACATTAAAAGAGTTTGTCAGACACTCCACAATTGCGAAAGGACAAATTTGATATTCTTATTTCTCATGCTATATATAATTGGATTGAACAGGGGTGGAAGGAGGGAATATAGCGCAGTCAACCCAATATCTAAGTAAGATGGTGTGTTAGATGGAGGTCTCCCATAGGCAAAACATCCACTTAATACTAACAGAGACACTACTGTAAGGTGGGGAATACAGGTGGATAAGGCTTTCTGCCTGCCTTGATCAGAAGGAATTCTTAATACTGCCTTGAAGATCACTGCATAAGATACAATAATAAAAGAAAAACAACCTAGTGAAGTAATAATATTGGCTACAACAATTCCAGCCTCAAGTCGATTTAACCCAGAGCAGGATAGTTTTAGCAATTGTGGACTTTCACAAAAGAATTGGTTGACAACATTAGCACAAAAAAGGATGGAAAAAGTGCCAATGGTATGCAATGTGCCACATAGAATACCTGAAAACCACACTACTATTACTATTTCAGTGCAGGCTTTCCAATTCATCACCATCTCGTAGTGCAGTGGATTGCAAATGGCAACATACCGATCATATGCCATAACTGTCAGGAGGGAGAAATCAGAAACTGCAAAGGAGAAAAAGAGAAAGTTTTGAATAACACAACCAAAATAAGTGATGTGTCTGGTATCCATGAGAGAATTGATCATGGATTTGGGAACAATGACTGAAACAATGCCCAGGTCCTGTACAGCTAAATTCATAAGAAAGAAATACATGGGGCTGTGCAGGCGATGGTCAAAAGCTATTGCAGTGATGATGAGAAGATTTGTTGTTACAGTTGCCAAATATAACACAAAGAGAAAGAAGAAATGCAAAAGCTGCAGTTGCCGATTTTGTGAGAATTCCAGGAGCAGAAAGTAAGACACTGTCGTTTGATTCTCCATGTGACATTTAAGAGAAAGCTGCAGGTCATAACTGCAAGGAATCAGAAAAGGGAAATGAAATAAGTGGTCTTTTGAGATGTGGTAAGAATAGAAAATATAAAGTATTATTAAGCATGGACCGAATTAACAGAGGACTAGACCACAGACAAGATTTATTTAAGATAAACATAAACCATATTCTACCCACCAAGAAATCCACTAAGAACCAGATGCAAATATGACATTTTTCCTTTTATTATCTCCTATCACAATCGGAAAGGTTACATAGGGTTAAGAAAACCCTGTTCAAATCCATTTTCAACAGTGACACAATCCCTTACCACCGGTTAAGAGTTATGGTATTGTTGTAAAATTGTGGGATGTGTTATGTGTTGTGCTTTGTGCTTCTAATAGAAAGGAACTGTAAATCTAGCATAAAAACATAAAAACAAACTCTTAGGTCTTTCACTGGAAATGCTGTGTGTCTGTATGTTTCTGTTTTATGTGGCAGATAGATGGAAATATTTTTTCTCCTCTTCTCTCTTTTACCCTAGCAGCTTTTAAAGTAAAGAAAATAAGCACAAAATGCCTTCAAACTAATACATAAAGATTAGTCTCCTAAACATGCATTTAATGGTATATTATTAAAAGAAAGGAAGATAGAATTTTATTTACAACTGCTATTTTGATATTGTTTCATTGGTATTATATGCACAATTATACTACTATAAAATATATTTAATCAAAAGAAATCAAATATTAGCAAAATAAATTAATCAGAAAGAGATGAAAGATCAGTTTAAAAAAGCAGTCTCTCTTTCAATATACATCTATATTCCCTCCATGAGAGTTTGGCCACAGAATGATACACAACCTATTACCGCTCTGAACTCTGACATATCAGCATTTTTTAAAAATTTGAACCCATGTTTTCATCAATAATACTAAAATGTTTAAAAAGAAACAAAAAAATAAAACAAAATAAAAAGACATTTAAAAATATTACCATCTATTTTTTTTATTCAGACAGATTATGAAAAGACTTTGCTGATGCTAATTTATCTAATAATGATCAGCTTTTGGCTGATAGTTTGATCCAAATTTATGCAAATTATAACTGTTTTTATTCTTTTATAATTATGTGGAAAAGGTACCAACATGTTAAATATTCAGTTAATTCATTCTTTATTAGCTACATAGAAATCTCTCCAAATTGTCTTTAAATCTACTGTCTGAGGTGAAATTTCTGAAAAATTATACTAAAACCCTTTGTTCTCGTCCCCAAAGCAGGCTACGTTCTAACACCATTATATCAGAAAAACTACCTTATGCAATTATTCACGTGAATAAAGCATATTGAAATAAATACCAATTTGTTGTAGAAAAAAAGAAATATGTTTTCTGTTAAATTTTCAATTTATAACTAACTTATTTGTCACTATAATGTCTTCTATGATTTTAAGAGTGTTAAATATCTTACCACTAAGTCAATGCTGTCCCATTAATTTTTAAGTATTGAAACATCAATTTGCAGTCACATAAAATTCTATTCTGAATGTTTATTAATCTTTGTTTTGTTTCCCTCAAGAGACTTGTACACCAAAAATGAAACTGACTTGTGTGCTTATTAACATAATTGTCCATTAAGAACACAAGTTTCCTCCAGGAGAAGTTATCATATTATATAGAATAATAATATCTCCAATAATTAACAGAATGAGGTCCAAAGTGTAAATTGTGAGAGGTGCAATTATTATAAAGTATAATCACAAAAATTTTAAGAAATATACACAGTAAGAATATCTCTAGAGGCAGATATAATGTATGAAATTCTTAGGCTTCTGTAAGTCAGTAGAAAGAAAGGTTACGCTGTCATTATATGGGAGCAAGGGTGGTCACATTGATAAAGTCAGTACATCAGTATTTTGATGCCACACTCAATTATTTTACATATGCACTGATTTTTTACACTGATATGTGAAAAGGATAGGAGATAGCCTTTCATGGTTCTGCAAGTCTCCTTTTTTTGGACAGGTAGATCTTCTTTCCTAGAAGTCTTGATTACCTCAAGCGTATTTCAGCTCTTTCAGTTTTTAATGGTTCTGGTCAAACTCATTTCTTTCTTGTTCCCATTTTGGATTGAAACTTTATGTTCCTCATATTTTACAAACCATGCTTCAACACAGCATGACTTAATATGATGCCCAAAATAAGTTGAAAAGCTATGCAGCAACAATGTCAAAAATGATCCATTTTGGCATCTAGGAAATGAGGAGAACATTAAAAAAAAATATCAAAGTCTTCTAGCTAACTCTGTTCTGTATAAAAAGGAGGGAAAGGAAAACATAATCAGTCTTTCATGACTATAAAAGTACATTTCCAGGTAAACTTGAGGAGTTGATTCTTGACCCATCTCAAAAAGCTCATATCTCCTCAAACTCAGAATAAGATTTTGTGTAACAGCCTGGGTAATCATATTCCATAACTCTGAAGCAGAATAGTGCTAATATAAATGAACATGGTATTTTGAGGAATTTAGTGAAACATTTTGATTTCTTCATGTTAAAAACAGTCTAAATACTTAGAGCAGTGGTTCTCAACTTGTGGGTCAGGACCCCATTTGGGGTCGAATGACCATTTCACGGGGGTCGCCAAACAACGCAGTCTGCCATTTTTTCCCCCTTTCCTTAGCTATGCTACTCCCTTTTATTCTATTGGCTTTTGAAAGCCAATAGAATGACTCTCTTGAATAGAGTCTAATTCTATTGGCTTTCAAAAGCCAATAGGAATTGTCCAGGCTGTCTCTGCCCTGTTGAGCCTGCCAAAAGTCCCATTCTGCAAATGGTACTGCAAGTTGTCTGCAGCAAAGATGAGCTGTCTGGAAGTTTCCAACCCTCCCTCCTGAGCAACTACTAAAAATGTAAGTAAAAGAGAGCCAGGGGTGGGAGGTGGGAGGCCAGCGGGCGCAGGGAGGGTTACTGGTGCGCGTGGGACCCAGCGGATGCCTTACTTCCCTTGGGCTGGGCCAGCTGGTGGCCCAGCCGGTGGTCAGCCTGCGCCATCTCTGCCACTTGCCAGCTACGCCTCGGCCGGTGCAGGGGGTGGCACAACACATGCGCGGTGCTCCTGGACAGGGAAAGTCCTCAACTTACGATCGGTTGGGTAGTCCTCGACTTACAACCAGTTGGGTAATCCTTGATTTATGACTGGTTGGGTATCGCAGTATTAAAAAGGTTGAGAACCACTGACTTAGAGCTCATCTGAGCTAACCTTCTTGTTTTTCCCTCTTGCTTGCTCAATGAAGGAGGTGTGGAATCTTTACATAATTCCAAAGCTCTTGTTCTCTATGTAAGTCTCAGACTTTTAATTCCCATCTCAGAGTCCTGGACATCTCCAGATGGAATGGGCATTAAAAAGACTCTTGAAGGATATGTGCTGTATACAATGTATCATGTTCACGAATAAGAAAGTAATAGCCACACAGATTAGGCAAATGTTGATAGAATTTATTGAGTCAAGCACAGCAAAGTAGTAACTATAATTGCAGAAGTACAGTGTGGACAAGAAATATCCACAAATAAGGCAAGAGTACAAGAAGGAAATACAGAAGTATAAATATAGGAGAAAATTTCATATTCTTTTAGGTGAAAGCCACTCACCCTCAACAAAAGGTATTGATATTGCCTAGGTTATTTGAGTATCCATATGGCACCCTTTCAAAGTATACTTATACTGATCCATGAAGTATCTGTCCTTTCTTTATTTAAATATAAATTTATTGTGCATTTACATGAAAATGTATTTTAAAATGTATTTGGACAGATGGTGGCATAAATAACACAAAAGGCATAACCACAAAACCTGGACAAGGCTTTTAGTGTGTTATCAGCAGCTTGGATGAAACCATTTTTCAGCAAATTTTAATAAAATATCATTCTGGTATATAACAATTTAGATTTGTTTCTTCAGGTATTAGACAATGGAGTGTTTCTTATTTCTTCCAATTTACATCATATTGCACAGTTACTGTAAGCTTATATCAGTGGTTCTCAACCTGTGGGTCGGGACCCCATTTGAGGTCAAATGACCATTTCACGGGGGGTCGCCAAACAACGCAGTCCATCATTTTTTCCCCCTTTTCCTTAGCTGTGCTACTCCCTTTTATTCTATTGGCTTTTGAAAGCCAATAGAATAGATTCTCTTGAATAGAGTCTAATTCTATTGGCTTTCAAAAGCCAATAGGAATTGTCCAGGCTGTCTCTGCCCTGCTGAGCCCACTAAATGTCCCATTCTGCAAACGGTGCTGCAAGTTGTCTGCAGCGAAGGCGAGCTGTCTGGAAGTTTCCACCGCTCCCTGCTGAGCAACTACTAAAAATGTAAGTAAAAGAGGGCCAGGGGTGGGAGGGGGGAGGCCGGCGAGTGCAGGGAGGGTTGCTGGTGCATGTGGGGCCCGGCAGGTGCCTTATCTCCCTTGGGTTGGGCCAGCTAATGGCCCAGCCGGTGGTCGGCCTGTGCTGTCTCTGCCGCTTGCCAGCTACACCTTGGCCGGCGCAGGGGGCAGCACCATGCATGCGCAGCACTCCCGGACAGGGAAAGTCCTCAACTTATGACCAGTTGGGTAGTCCTTGACTTACGACCGGTTGGGTAGTCCTCAACTTACAACCGGTTGGGGGGTCGCGGCATTAAAAAGGTTGAGAACCACTGGCTTATATGATGTTCTATTACAATTATGACATGGACTTCTTGCTTTTTCATTTTGTTGTGTCATAAAAAAGTTACAGTACATAATACCAACTCACCCATCTTGCCCACCCTACCAAGTGCCTGGTTTTGCCAAAGCACTTCTAAGAAAAAAAAAAAATACTCCTGAACTAAAATAAGTAAAAACCTGTTTTGTGTGGTGTTTAAGGCACAACACTAGAAATCAGGAGATACTGATGTCTAGTCCTGCTGTAGGAATAAAACTAGATGGGTGACTTTGGGCCTGTCACTCACTCTCAGCTCTAGGAAGGAAGTAATGGCAAACCCCTTCTGAAAAGCCTTGTATAGAAAAATGCAGTGATTTTTCTGGGCAGTTGGAAAGAGTTAAGACTGACAAAAGGGAACAAAATATCAAAGTGTATGAGCAAATTACAAAGAAAGAACGAACTATTGGAAAAGCTGAAGCTTTAACTAGTCATATATCTGCAAGCATTGTAGGGGAAAATATTTTATACAGAAATCTCAGGGAAAAATAGCCCACATAGTTTAAACAAGTTCGCAATTGTACTCCCTCCACACACAATTGCACTATATCTTGCTATTCACTTCACCAAAAATCAAGAATGATCATCTGTGACAAGCCACAGGCTGCCAATCACCCACATTTAGCATCTTTAAATTGCATTAACAACTATTATGGATGAAGACTGTTTGCTAATTAATTTCTTGAATTCTACAGTTCTTCTGGATTGAAAGGTTGAATGTGCCTATGTTCCAACTACTGTATGTCCCCCTTTTTAATGTATTCCTGAATTATAATAATAATAATAATAATAATAGTAGTAGTAAAGTTGGAAGAGATCTTGGAGGTCATCTAGTCCAACCCCCTGCTCGGGCAGGAAACCCTACACCATTTCGGACCAGTGGCTGTCCAGTCTCTTCTTAAAAACTTCCAGTGTTGGAGCATTTACTGCTTCTGGAGGCAAGCTGTTCCACTGATTAATTGTTCTCACTGTCAGGAAGTTTCTCCTTAGTTCTAGGTTGCTTCTCTCCTTGATTAGTTTCCACCCGTTGCTTCTTGTCCTGCCTTCAGGTGCTTTGGAAAATAGCTTAATTCCCTCTTCTTTATGGCAGCCCCTGAGATATTGGAATACTGCTATCATGTCCCCCCTTGTCCTTCTCTTCGTTAAACTAGACATACCCAATTCTAGCAACCGTTCCTTATATGTTTTAGCCTCCAGTCCCCTAATCATCTTTGTTGCTCTTCTCTGTACTCTTTCTAGAGTCTCAACATCTTTTTTACATCGTGGTGACCAAAACTGGATGCAGTATTCCAAGTGTGGCCTTACCAAGGCATTGAAGAGTGGTATTAATACTTCACGTGATCTTGATTCTATCCCTCTATTAATGCAGCCTAGCACTGTGTTGGCCTTTTTGGCAGCTGCAGCACACTGCTGGCTCATATTTAGGTGATTGTCTACTAGGACTCCGAGTAGCCCGGAAAATGCAAAATTGTGATGACCAGAATATAAGCAACCTTAAAAGATTTTTACAGAATGTCCACAGTTTAGAAAGGACATATTTTATATTCCTATTTCTCATGATATAGATGATTGGATTCAACAGAGGTGGAAGGAGGGAATACAAAACATTTAATCCAAAATCTAAGTAAGTATTAGAGGAAGATTTAAATAGGCAAAACTTCCAGTTAATACTAACATAGACACTAAAATAACGTGAGGAATACATTATAACCTGGATGACTGTGAATCTCCATAGACTAGCAGGTTTTTTTTAAATTTCATGCACTAATCAAAAGGATTGCCTAGGATTGGGAATACCCTGTTAAAGTTAATTTTCAACCATGGAGGTTTACTGGGAATATTTGAATGAGTCTCAAACTTGCTACTCATACAAGATTGTGGTACTGTCAAAAAATTGGTGGACGTGGTATTCATGATGCTTTGTGCTTTGAGAAGAAAAACAATATAAATCTAGCAAATAAATATAACAATACATTGCTGTATCTTTTACTTAGAAATCTTGAGAATAGATATTGTCCTCTGATGTGTGTTTTATGTGTGTTTTAGACAGATGGGAATGTTTTGATCAGATGCCTTAGTACCTATTTGGCAAAAAAAAAAGCATAAGAACTTTTAAATCTAATATATAAATAATGGATTCCTTAACATGTATTTAATCAAATATATAATTAAACAGAAAAAAACCCTTTACTTACAGCATAACTCTTATCTTGACATTTGCTAGGAAGTATTATGCATGATAAACAATCTGGAAAATATTTTAATAAAAGAATTGAGACATTGGCAGAATGAATTAATAAATCCACTTTTTCAACAATCAGAAGGAAAGTGATAGCTCAATTTGAAAAAGTAGAAACCTCTATTCCTTCCAGAGGAGTTTGTTTTTGATTTATTAAAGGGGATATTGTATTATTAAGTAGATGATTTAATATGGTGGGAAATAGATAACTCTTAGGAAATAGAACAAGATTACATTCAAATAGATAAAATGTGTATTTTGGATATTATAGTTTGTTATGAAGTGAGATAAGGGAAATCTCACTTACCCAAAGTCTGAAAATTATGGATATTAAAAGTTAAATTGGAATATTGATGAGAAACTAAAAATTATGTAAAAATTAATAACAGGATATGGATTGTTTATGAAGATTGAATGTAATTAAGATATGCATAAGCTAAAAAAATATTGATAAATGTAATAATGATGTTTTTATTGAGTTGATATAATTAGAAATGTACTAGCTTGAATACGAGATAGTAAATGTTAAGGGGAAAAGAAAAGAAATATCTGATGTTGTAACCTGAGATTTGCACTAAAGTTATTGAACTATTGACTAATCAGTCATCACGTTGCTTTTTAAACACTCAAATGTAAAATTGGAAAATTAATAAAATATTATAAAAAAAGAAGAAGTGGGACAGCAGTGATTCCCGCAATCCAAACTGTGAGAGGTGAAACACGAATCAGGTGAGGAGACCTCCCTGAAGAAAGTTCCATCATCTGGGATTCTTTTTTACCTTTGGCTTTTAAGAAATCCCAACCTCTATTCTGCCTACCCCAGCAAGGGGAATAGCTGAGACCTGCGTTAATTAAGCCCAGATCATTAATACAGGGCTGGAAAATACAAGCTTTTTTGAAAATAAAAAGGGAATAGGATGAAAAGAACTGCAAGAAATCCATAGAAACTTAATGGATTGCCAGAATAAGATGCACAGTAAAATCATAGAAACCAGAGGCATTTGTTGTGAGATTGCAAACAACCAAGTTGATAGTTCATTATTGTAATTCAACCCATACCCCTTTACAGGGTATATTTCACTGCCTAAGTAGACTGCAAATGCAAACTAAAACAAGGCTCATAAAATGAGATATAAGTTCATGGAAACCTATAAAATATCTATGGTAGAATAAATAATACAGTACGTCTATAGAAATCAATAAGAAAACTCACACAGGAAATATTATTTAGAAAGTTTATATAGATACATGTTTTAGAAAATCAATGTACATATCCTCAGTTTTGTTGGTTAATATTTTTTATTTATTTATTCAATGAATTGTTGCCTGCAATAAGGTAATAATAGAATTTCTTCCATAGTAGTGGCTGCTACCATTTCCCCAGAAGAATCCATTTCAGCCTCCATGGCAAAGCACCAAGAAATAGATTACAGCCTTTTCATATTTCACTATTTTTTGCTCAAGTAAAAATAACAATAATAAAATAAAGTACAAAGTAATCCTAAAAGATTTAAGGAACATATAGAATAAGATACATGATAATAAGTAGATTCTAGATGGAGATCGCAGGATGGCTGACTCTTTCTTTGTATCTGACAAATCTGCAGCTTTCAGTGGGACAAATGGAAAAATAGCTAGAAAATGAAGAAAAACTGAACCTCCCAGTGGGAGGAAAATCCATGTATTAGGAAGTACAGGATATATAAGCTCTGCTAATGTAGGAGACAGAGTGGCTGAGCCAGGTGAAGGAGTCAAATGGGGAATTAGTCTGGAATCCCAAAGTCTAACATTCCCTCTCCAATGCTGTTGGACCTTATCTAGTCTCATCCAACAGCTAACCATCAGTCTAAGAAGATTTCTATGTATAGGCTTGACCAATAAAACAGCTGATTGAGCTTTTTATATTTGGATCTGGTTATTGTTCCTGACAGGTCAGCTGGTAGAAATAAAAACAGCAGTGTCATCAGGCAACAGTGATCACATTGGCAACATCAGTACAGCAGTATTATAATGCAAGCACCACTACTGTTATATATACACTAAAATATCCCATTTATACATGAAAAAGTTAGAAAATAGCCTTTCATGGCACTGTATGTCTCCTTTCATTGGATGAGTGGATGTGGCTTCCTAGAAGTCTTGATGACCTCAAGAGAGTTTCAGTTTCCTAATTCTTACTGACTCTAGACTACCTTATTTATTCCTTGTTGGTATTTTGGATTGAATCTTTAATTTGTTCTTATTTTTCAACCATGGTTAAAAACAGCACATGCAAATCCATTTCTGAGAGAAAAGATAAAGTCTCATTAAAAGAAACGTTTAAAAACTAAAACATTTTAGGTAGGGTGCCATTCTTATTCTTATTTCTTGTGTTATAGATGGATTGAAAAGGGATGAAACACTGGAATATAACATAGATAATGCTAAAACTAGATAGGCTGGTGTGCTAGAGGGAAGTCTCAGATGGAGTTGGTAGTACTGTTGCATTTTCTAAACTAACATGCTTTTTTTGCATTTTAAATTTGCCTTTTTAAATTTATCATAAATTTTAACCTTCTAGAAGAAAGTGGAATCCCTCCCTTTGGGAAATATGGCAGAGAAGTGCTAAATAGATAAAACAGTTTCTTTTTCAGCAAGCCCAGCATTGAGAAAGTTGCTATACCTTTACTATATCCATTCTGATGTTTTTCCTTAGAAATGTTTCTTTTATATTTATTCAGAAATATCTGAATACAGATGACTTTTCCTTACCCAATCAAAATATTATTTTATACTTTTTTTATCACACAATACTAGGTGAATGTTCCATTTTGTATAAATTATAAAGGTATTGTTAGGATAATGGCAGAGATATCACAAAATAGTGATATGGATTTTGGTATGTATTATCAGTATCTTGGATGGCATTCATTATTACTCAAGGACATTTCAGTAAGATATCATCTTATCTTCTCTAGGTATTGGACCTGGGAACATATCTTATTTCTTCCACTTGTTACAAAGTTGAAGGATTTCTGAAACCTTATTTAATATTCTAATAGAATTATGTATCATCCTAATTTAATTTCCTACTTTTTCATTTCTCATGGTTATCAAAAGGTTATGTGAGATAGCATCAGTTCACACAGCTTGCACACTCTGCCTCATCTCTGGTCCTGCCAAACCATTTCTAAAGAACAGAAATATTCCGAGCTAAAGAAATTGAAAACCAATCTGATGCAGAAGTTAAGGCATCAGGCTAGCTAGAAACCAGAGACTGGGACTTCTATCCCCCCTTAGGAATGTAGCCACTGTGTGACTTTGGGCCAGTCCCTCTCTCCCAGCTCTTGAAAGGAGGCAATGGCAAACCTCTAATGCAGGGGTGTCAAACTTGCAACATCATGTGACATGTCATGACATATCGTGACTTTTTTCCCATTGCTGGCAATGGGGTGGCGCGGTTTTGGTATGACGCATCCAGCCCGTGGGCCAGCACTTTGACACCCCTGCTCTAATGAAAAAAATGTTGCCAAGAAAAATATAGCAACTTGTTCAGGCAGTTGCCAGGACTTGAGGTTGACTAAAAGGAGCAAAATATCAAACTTTGTGAGGAAATGACCATTTTAGAACAGAAGTGTTATAGAGACTTGTATTCTTTTAGAAATACTGAAGTTTCAGCTAACCATATTATGGATCAGCATTAAAGGAAGCCATTTCAGATAGGAAAGAACAAGGGAAAATAGACCAAATCACAAACTTCCTGTGCATTTCAGGTTTTTCCACTATCAGAAGCATAATTTAGAGTTCCAACTAAAAGCCAGGATTGCTCAAGAATAAATAAAAGATTCAGACATCTGTGAGGAAAGGAGAAATATTTATTTCTAAAAGCAAAGAGTTTGCCTTTAAGGGCAGTTCCAGAGAAATGGGGTACAGTGACATACTTTTATAGGGGAGTTAGTCTGAGGTGTGGAAGTATCTGTGTGCTGATTCTAGGGTGACATTTGAGGTGTGTGTGTGTAGGTATGTCATCTATGCTGTTTATTCTTACAAATATGTAGTTTTGCTGGGAGAACTAATTTAATTAATTCTATTTGTGTTTACAGACTTTATCCTTTAATATATGGATTAAGTCTGGGTAACTTATTTGGTAGTTTGAAAAAGTTTGAATAAAAGGTATTCCCCCCCCAAAAAAAAGATTTTGCTTTTTAAAAAATCAGTTTCAACTGGACTGTCAATTATCTAATAGAGATGCTAATTCTCAGCCCATTCTGTTAATGTTTTAAGGGAAGATGGAAACAATATAAACAATAAAATATATTTTGATATAAAACTTCTCATACCACCAATTCCATTACATTCTGTATTCACTTCAGTAAACAACAGGAATTGTCAGCCTATGGAATGCCAGAGCTGCCAAAGATCCATATTTAGCATCTGTAAAGTGTTTTGACAGTAATTAGAAATGTAGGCTAAGCAACTATCGACAGCTAGGTTCTTTTGGTTTGAGAGGCTAGATTTGCTACACCCAACTATCTCTTTCTACTATATTCTTTTATTCACAGAAGTAAAACAAAAGACAGGAAAATTTAAAAAACTTATGGTGAAGAGACTATAAACAACATTAAAAGAATTGATCAAAATCTCCACAGTTGAGAAAGGACACATTTGATGTTCTTATTTCTCATGCTATAGATGATTGGATTGAACAGAGGTGGAAGGAGGGCATACAGAACAGTCAACCCAATATCTAAGAAAGATGGTGTGTTAGAGGAAGGTCTCATATAGGCAAGGCATCCATTTAATAATAACATAGACACTACTGTGAGGTGGGGAATACAGGTAGATAAGGCTTTTTGCCTTCCTTGCTCAGAAGGGATTCTAAACACTGCCTTAAATATCAATGCATAAGATACAACTATAAAAGTAAAACAACCAAATACAACAATGAAACTGGCCACAAGAATTCCAAACTCAAGTAGATTTAATCCAGAGCAGGATAGTTTTAGTAATTGTGGAATTTCACAGAAGAATTGATTAACAACATTAGAACAAAAAAGGATAGAAAACGTGCCAGTGGTATGCAAAATTCCATAGAGGAGACCTGTAACCCACACTAGAATTATTATTTCAGTACAGTATTTCCAGTTCATCACCATCTCATAGTGCAGTGGGTGGCAAATGGCAACATACCGATCATATGCCATCACTGTCAGGAGGGAGAAATCAGAAGCTTCAAATGACATAAAGAGAAAGATTTGAGCAACACAACCAAAGTAAGAGATGTGTCTGGTATCCATGAGAGAATTTATCATGGATTTGGGCACAATGACTGAAACAATGCCTAGGTCATGTAGAGCCAAATTCATGAGAAAGAAGTACATGGGGCTTTGCAGTCGATGGTCAAAAGCAACTGCAGATATGATGAGAATATTTGCTGTTACAGTTGCCAGATATAACACAGAGAACAAGAAAAAATGCAAAAGCTGCATATGCTGATTTTTTGAGAATTCCAGCAGCAGAAAGTAAGACACTGTGGTTTGATTTTCCATGTTTATTTATTACAAAGCTGTCATAACTGCAAGAAAAGAGGAAAATTCAGTTAGATAAAATTTTGGAGATGGCATTTTGATAGGTGGTAAGAATAGAAAAATCAAGAAACATAATGAAAAACAGAGATATAGGATGGGGATATTAGAACACACTCTTTTCCATTTTTACCCATCTGTACTAAAGGACCAACCACCAACATCACATTTTTCCTTCTTTCCTCTTTTCAACTATTTATCTCATGTTGGTTCAGATCTATTTTCATCAATAAAAACATTATTCATAATAATTGGATCCATCCCACAGGATTGTGCTCATGTAGGAAAATTGAAGAATTCCAATGTCTGGTAGTTTGTGCTTCTAGAAGAAAGGCAATGTAAATCTAGCCAATATATATAAAAATAATTTACTATATCTCTTATTTGAAAATCTTAAGAGCAGACATTTCCTCTTTGTATAATTTCTCTCTGTGTGTATTTATGTAAGTGATGGCAATGTTTTTTTTTCTCAATTTCCCCACCAGATATTAGGCTAAAATAATAGCATAAAACGCTTTTAAACCAATACATAAATACAAGATTATTAAACATGTATTTAAACAATTATATCACTGTTATATACATTTAATCAAAGGGCCTCAAATAATAGCAGAATAAATTAATAAATTCCCTTATCCAACAATCAGAAGGAAATGAAAACTCAGTTTGAAAAGGCAGTCTCCCATCCAGTACAAACCAATAATGTCTGTAGTGGAGTTTTGACAGAAAGTGAGACACAACCTATTGCACCTTTGAACTCTGACATCTCAGCATTTTTTTTAAACAATGTTGAACGCTATGTAGGCACATTTTCAACAATAATATTTAACTTATTTTAACAACAGAGAAATAAAAAGTTTTGGGAATCTTACCATGCATTTTTTTTTTCATGTACAGTTAGATGATGAGATGACTTTGCCAATGCTAATTCACCAATTAATGATCAGTTCATAAGGAAGATTTGGAATAAATTTCTGCAAATTATAACTGTTTTTTATTCTTTATAATTATCATGAGGAAAAAGAACCAATGTTATATGTGTAGTTAATTCATTATTTAAAGTCTACACAGAAATGTCTCCAGATCTTTCTTCCCATTAAGTAAATGCTGTCCCACTATTTTTCATGTAGTGAAATATCTATCTGCAATTGTAGTTATTTCTATTCCGAATCTATATTAATCTTTATTTCCCTCAAGAGAATTGTACAGCAAAATGAAACTGACTTCTCTGTGCTTATTAACACAGTTAACAAATGTAAATGAAGCTGACTTCTGTGTGTTCATAAACATAATTTGTCATTATGAACACAACAGTTTTGTCTAGGACCTGTTATCATATCACATACAATAATAATATTTCCGATTATTAACAAAAGTTTAAATTGTGAAACACAATCAAGTGAGAATCATCATTTGTGATTCTCTTTTATTTCCAGCTTTCTGCATGCTACAGGCAGGGGAAGAGCTTGACCTTGGCTAAATATGTCCACATACCTAGTGGTGGATAATAGTTCTGCCAATTATAAGGGGGGGGAAGCAAAAAGAAATATCAGAAAACCCATAGAATCCTGGTGGAATGCCAATCATCATCATCATCATCATCATCATCATCAGTAAGTGCCGCCTATGCAAAGAAGCTGAAGAAACAGTGGACCACTTGGTAAGCTGTTGCAAGAAGATTGCACAGACTGACTACAAGCAGTGGCATGACAAAGTAGCAACAATGGTGCATTGGAAGATCTGCAAAAAATATCATTTGCCTGTAAACAAAAACTGGTGGGATCATAAAATAGAAAAAGTCATAGAAAATGATAAAATTAAACTGCTCTGGGATTTCAGAATTCAAACAGACAAGCACCTGCAACATAACACCCCAGACTTAACAATTGTCGATAAGAAAGATAAAAAAGTCTGGATAGTGGACGTGGCAGTGACTGGAGACAGCAGAATAGACGAGAAAGAACTGGAGAAGATAACAAAATACAAAGACCTACAAATAGAAATAGAAAGACTGTGGCAAAAGCAAGCAAGGGTAGTACCAATAGTAATAGGCTCCTTGGGTGCAATCCCAAAACAACTGGAGCACCACTTGAACACCATTGGCATTGACAAATTCGCTATTAGTCAATTGCAAAAGGCGGCCTTATTAGGAACTGCTTCCATCCTGCGACGATATCTGTAATACCATCAAACATCCACATCTGCCTATCCCAGGTCCTGGGTAAGGACTCGATAGGTAGACAAAATGCCAAATCCAGTCTGAACATCTGGCTGACTGTGCGATGATCATAATAATAATAATAATAATAATAATAATAATAATAATAATATAACTACCCCAGTGAGGCACTACCTTGACATGGTTGTGGGGCTTGTGTACTCTGAGGAAGATGAGAGCTATGCCAGAGGTTCAACCATACTGGACAGGTCTCATCAGAGGAGTCAGACAAAGAGTGTCTCTCCCATACAAAATATGGTGAGACGTAAATTGCAGAATGCCATACCGGCTCGGATGTTGCCCGGGTTAACAAGGTCCGCGCTAGATATCGGAGTTCCTGGATATCTGGTGAAAAATGGGTTACAGGACTCAGGACTGTTGGCTGAGCAACCAGGGCCAGCAGCTGCAGAACTACTGGAAGAAAAGGTGTTTACCCGTCGCAGATACACAGTGATGGAAAACAAAGAAATAATGATCTGTTACTACAGATCAAGTCCAACAAGAAGAGGATATCTAAAACGAATGCACCAGTTCTGGAAAGAACAACATCCAGAATCAGAAATAACAGAACAGAGACTAGCAGATCAACGCCGATTTATAATACGAAATAAAGTATTTACAGAAACAGAATTGGACGAACTGCAAAGGTTTACCCAGGGCAAAGAAATCAAAGCCTTACCAGAAGTAATTCAGAATATAGAGGCAAACCAGGGGGAGTTTGCAGTGAAAGAATCCAGTAGAGATATACAACTGTTCTCATTTGGAAACCAGGCACCTCTTCCTCAGGAAGAACAAAACCCTCTAACTAAAGAAATAAAAGAATTGAAACAAAGAATAACTGAGCATCTAGAACAGCACAAAAACAACAGAATAAGGCTACCTGCATTGAAGCTTGTTCCAAAGAAACAGCTAGCACAAGCATTAAAAGATGCAAATACTGCAATATCAAGTATAAGCACCAATTCACTGCAAGAAACAAACCAACTAATGTACAGCACAGCTGCAGTTATAACAGAATACCTGGGATGCAAAATCAACAAAGAAGAAAAACAAACAAACAGTGCACCAGAAAAATGGAAGGTTAGACTAGAAAATAAGATCAGCAAGTTAAGATCACATGCAAGCAAGCTAGAACAGATGAAAGAAAAGAAGCTGAAGAACAAGAAGACCAAAGAATACCTAATCAAGAAATACCACTTAGAAACAAGGAAGATCAAGGAAGCACTGGAAATAATAAAGCAACAAATAACAGCTATAGCCAGGAAAATCAGTAGATATGAAGCTCGAATTGCAAACTATAGGCAGAACCTCCAATTTCAATCCAATCAGAAACGTTTCTACCAATCCATCAATGGAGAAACTGCAAGAATCAGTCAGTACCTGACAAGGAAGAAACAGTGCAGTTCTGGAAGCAGATATGGGATAACCCAAAGAAATACAACAAGGATGCGGCTTGGTTAAAAGAGGTGGATGCAAATAAAACAGAAGTTGAAATGAAAGAACTAGTAATAACAACAAAAATGGTAGAAAAAAGAGCAAAGAAAATCAAAAATTGGTCAGCACCAGGTGAAGATGAACTGCATGGGTTTTGGTTGAAACATCTAACTGTTATACACCCACTCATTGCCAAGCAGTTCAACAATATACTACAAGGAGGAGAAATTGAAAAGTGGCTAACAACTGGGAAAACCTACCTAATAATGAAAAATCCAGCAAAAGGGGCAACACCAGATAACTACAGGCCAATTACCTGCTTACCAACAACTTTCAAATTACTAACTGGGGTGGTAGCTGATGCAGTACAACAGCATCTAGTTGAAAACAATCTCTTCCCACCTGAGCAGAAAGGAAACCGCCCCAATAGCAGAGGAACAAAAGATCAACTCCTAATAGACAAAATGATCTTGGAAAACTGCAAGAGAAGGAAGACCAACCTGAATGTGGCATGGATTGACTACAAAAAGGCATTTGACTCTCTGCCACATGATTGGATAATCAAGTGCCTAGAAATAACAGGAGTCAGTAGAAACATCAGAAAATTTGTGCAAAGATCGATGGCACAATGGAAGACACAGTTGCAGATCAATGGTGAGAAGCTGGGAGAGGTTAATATCAAGAGAGGGATATTTCAAGGAGATTCATTATCACCATTACTATTTGTTATTGCACTGTTTCCTCTGTCAACAATACTGAATAACTCAGGACATGGCTATCAAACATCAAAAACATCTGCCAGACTATCCCACCTCCTTTACATGGATGATCTGAAGCTGTATGGAAAAACATCATCTGAAATAGAATCGCTGCTCAACACTGTCCGTATATATAGCCAAGATATTGTATGGAGTTTGGCTTGGACAAATGTGCCACACTTACTATCAAACAAGGAAAAATAGTGAAAACTGAAGGAATCAAGATGCCCCACGAAAATAACATTAAGAGTCTGGATGAGGAAGAGTACTACAAATACTTGGGTATCCTTCAAGCTGACAACATCAAGCACACTGAAGTCAAGAAAAAGATTAGAGGTGAATACATCAAGAGAGTGAAGAAGATCTTAAAATCCAAACTCAATGGAGGAAATACCATAAAGGCAATCAACACCTGGGCAATCCCAGTCATTAGGTACACAGCTGGAATAGTGGACTGGACTCAAGCAGAACTAAAAGCAATGGATAGGCAGACCAGAAAAATAATGACAATGAATCATGCCCTTCATCCACGCAGTGACATTGATAGACTTTATCTACCAAGGCAAATAGGTGGGCGTGGAATGCTACAAGTACATCAGATGGTTGAAGAAGAAAAAATGGCTTTGGAAGAATATCTGAAGAACAATAATGAAGATGCACTGAAATTAGTATATCAGGAAGGCTTACTAACTACTGGAGAGACCAAACTGGCCTACAAGAAAGACCAAATGAAGAACAGAATAGAGGCATGGGAAGACAAAGCACTACATGGCCAATACATGAAAAAAAAATAGCTGGGAAAGCAGATAATAATAAAACCTGGCAATGGCTAAGAGCAGGAAAATTGAAGAAAGAGACCGAGGGACTAATTCTGGCTGCACAAGACCAAGCCTTAAGGACAAATGCATACAAAGTCAAAATTGAGAAGACAGCAACAGACAGTAAGTGCCGCCTATGCAAAGAAGCTGAAGAAACAGTGGACCACTTGGTAAGCTGTTGCAAGAAGATTGCACAGACTGATTACAAGCAGCGGCATGACAAAGTAGCAACAAGGTTGCATTGGAAGATCTGCAAAAAATATCATTTGCCTGTAAGCAAAAACTGGTGGGATCATAAAATAGAGAAAGTCATAGAAAATGATAAAATTAAACTGCTCTGGGACTTCAGAATTCAAACAGACAAGCACCTGCAATATAACACCCCAGACTTAACAATTGTCGAATAAGAAAGACAAAAAAGTCTGGATAGTGGACGTGGCAGTGCCTGGAGACAGCAGAATAGAAGAGAAAGAAACTGGAGAAGATAACAAAATACAAAGACCTTAACAAATAGAAAAAGAAAAGACTGTGGCAAAAGCAAGCAAGGTATACCAATAGTAATAGGCTCCTGTGGGTGTGCAATCCAAAACAACGGAGCACCCACTTGAACACAATTGGCATATGACAAATTCGCTATTAGTCAATTGCAAAAGGCGGCCTTATTAGGAACTGCTTCCATCCTGCGACGATATCTGTAATACCATCAAACATCCACATCTGCCTATCCCAGGTCCTGGGTAAGGACCCGATAGGTAGACAAAATGCCAAATCCAGTCTGAACATCTGGCTGACTGTGCGATGATCCATAATAATAATAATAATAATAATAATAATAATAATAATAATAATAATAATAATAATAATAATAATAATAAAGTTGAAAGGGACCT